AAAAACCCTTGGTTATGTCAAGAAACTTGATTTATGGATCCCTCACCAGTTAAAGGAAATTCATTTGACGCAACGGATTAGCATCTGTGATTCGCCGCTACTGAAACGCAATGAGAATGATCCATTTCTGAAGAGCCTAGTTACTGGCGACGAAAAGTGGATAGTTTACAACAATGTTACTCGCAAGAGATCATGGGTGAAGCAAGATCAACCAGCCCAAACAGTATCAAAAGCAGAGATTCACCAAAAAAAGATTATGCTGTCAGTCTGGTGGGATCACAAAGGAATTTTGTATTTTGAACTCATGCCGCAGAACCAAACGATAAATTCAAATGTGTATGTTGAAGAACTCGAAAAACTGAAGGATGCAATTGAAGATAAGCGGCCGGCATTATCAAATCGGCGGAAGGGTGTTGTTTTCCACACATCTTTGATAACGCAAGGCCCCACACATCTTTGGTTACTCGGCAAAAATTATTGGAACTGGGTTGGGATGTTTTGTCACACCCACCATATAGCCCTGACCTTGCACCTTCGGATTACCATTTGTTTCGTTCCATGCAAAACTCTTTAAATGGTAAAATTTGTAACAACGCGGATGATGTCGGATCACACCTAATTCAGTTTTTTAATAGCAAAGACCAGACATTTTACGAACGGGGAATTTTTACTCTGCCAGAACGATGGAAAAAGGTCATCGACAAGAACGGCCAATATCTAATTGAATAAAGTTATATTTTTAAACAAAAATTCCGAATTTGCCTTCTTATTTGAAATCGGCAATGACTTAGTTGCCAACCTAATAAATTCTGAATTTGACTTAAAAATCCCTTTTACGCATTAGTCACTCCATTTTTTTGGAAAATGCAGTCACAGCTACGAAAGCATAATTTTAGCCTTTCCCAAAAGGGTCATGGCCTGACAACTGTTGTCTCTAATCTGTAGTGTAATGATAATTGACTTAACTGCTACACTTAGGTGCCATCTGTAATTTACTTGCATCACTTTGTGAAGTAACCTTGAAAAGAACAAGAAATTTATGTGTACTAGCAATAAGTGCGCACTTCCTATCGGTCAAATGAAGAAAAAGGTGTAGGTTCAATTCAACTCCTGATTAAATCAAACTTATAGTTTCTCAGGAAAGAAGGTAGAATTTCAGATAACCGTAAATTACAAAAAGATAACCATTGGATTATTAAATTGCATATCCTCACAATAAGGGTGGGTTGGGGGGGGGGGGGGGGGGGGGGGGGGGGGGGAAGGGAGTAAATTTGGCAGTCTCAACAAGGAAAAGAAAACATAATTGGTAGCTGCAGAATTTAGAAGACTTACAGATATTCAATGGACAAGGAAATTACAGTACTGACAAAGAGTTATACTCAATATAATCGACATTAACCTCTACATTAGCTTCTGTCTGTCCCCCCTCCCCTCCTCCCCCCACTCCATCCTCTGGAGTCTAAAGGAAGCTGATTTTACTCTTCCTTGGGAAGTGGTGTGGGCGGGGGGGAATGCACATTGGCTCACAGCCATTTCGAAAGTCCGTTGTTCAAGGGGAATTCGACAAAATCGCCTGCTATTTTGCTTCCCTGTAGTTGCAGCAGCCCCAGTTCATGCTCTCTTGCCTTCACAGCAGGAACCATAACCGCCTTATTAAGATGTAACTTACTTTCTTACATGTTTCAAGCGGGTTCCCTTTGCCCCTACCCCCCCCCCCGTCCCCCCTAACCTCATTAAGGGCATGAATTCGAAAATAGGATTTATACCATTAAAGGAAGCTCATTTTGCGGTAATCTCTTTAACTCATTCGGAAAGAACTAAATAGTAGTTTTTGATATTTACTCCAAGCATCCTGAAAGCGTTGAGATTCGAAGAGATTGACAGGCTCTCTGACTAGATTTCAGTCCCAGACACATGTTTGGAAATTCATTAATGAGTTACCCTGTAGGCGAGAGATTAGGCCCAAAATTCATTCGATTGCCGTGATCTGACTAAATTCAGGTTCTTTATATCGTGGTGAGTAAATTGAGAAGAAACTGAAATGAACCCTGAACAAAAGATGGAAAATCAGTGCAAAAGTTGCGACACCACCAATATACAACCATGATCAATTACGCAAGCTGTAATTCTTCAAAATTTCCAGCATTTTGTTAATCGCACTGTTCACAAGAATATTGAAAAATGCAAGTTTCTCTTATAAAAGACTAGATGTTACCGGGGTTTTCCGAAAGACCGCCTAGGGCGGTTAAACGGAAAATTCCATTTCATAAAACTATTTTGGAACCAAATAACCTCCCATCCGAATGCTTACCCATGGGCGATAATATAGAAGTAAAATATTTCACCAAAGAAGAACATATATTATGAGAAAAGGGGTGCGCAATCGACTTACCTCCACGTGGTGCACCCTGGACAACGTATACTCATACCTTACCTCCACGTGGTGCACCCTGGGCAACGTATTCTCATTCGGCTACCTCCACGTGGTGCACCCTGGACAACGTATACTCATACCGCAAAAAGTCTATTACTCGGCAGTTGATTTCTCACCTCAAACTACCATCAACCTACTGTATGCCATATTCGACCACTTCCACAATACTCACCTCACCTTTTCTCTACCTTTATGTCTGCCTGTCTGTTTTATATCTGTGGATCTCTCTTCTGTTCCCCAGCTCGACCTTTTTGTCACTTTGATGTTCCTCCCCCTCCTCTCTGTGAAGCCCGAAGTCAGCCAAAAAGCTAGTGATAGATGACAAACTGCCTGTCTTTTGAAATAAATATTATGAGAAAAACACTATTTATTTCATGCAATAATACCGGCATTTATTTCAGCATTTTCATTCCGTATAGGGAAAGTCAAGCTTCAGTTCCAAATAGAGAAGCCCTATAAAACTACATTTTAACTTCCAACCCCAAATAATAGCTTATTCAGATTGGCGGGCTTTCGGAAAACCCCTTTTATATGAAATAGGTATTCATTGAGAATATGATTGTGCTTTGAATATGGAATTCGGGCAGTAAAAACATTCCCTTCTAACCAAAACCAAGTCTGCAAGGACCCTCGGTGTATTGACACTTCGCAAAAACGATCGTTTGGTGAGGAATCGCGGACAAATAGGTCATCACTAAGGCGCAAACATTACATAAGTTAACAAGTATCATTGACTGTGTATGACTACTTCGGCCCACGTGCAAAGAGATAGTTTATGAAAAAACATGTCACCCCGGAATTTAACTCCACCCACAATATGAAGTAATTTGATTTATTATGAAAGGGAAAAACAGCTGAGGTGAGATAAATTGACTATTTCAGAGGCCAGAAACAGTAAGGATCTCTTATCTTTAGACGATCTCGGTGATCGAAGATAAAGCATGCTTTTTTGACATTGATAATAACAATGAATAATCGGTAAAATGGAAACTTGATTTTTTAAACCCCAAGTTCCATTAAAAGTGTTGACACAATTTTAATCAGTAGTCTACTCAACCAGACCTCGCAATAATTTAGACCCGAGAAAGCAGAGTAAAAAAGGTTTGCAGCTTAGATGTTGGTTTCACATTAAAAGAGTTAACATTCGCTGGCTTAGGTAGCCAATAAATGAAGAGATGTACTTTTCACAAGTGGTCTTAGATTTGCAGGTATGAGGGCAGAAATTCAAAGACCAATAATCCAGTGCAGGGGTGCGCGATAGACTTACCTCCACATGGGGCACCTTGGGCAATGTATACTCCTACGATGCAAAAATAGTCTATAAACGGGTAGTTGACTTCTCACTTCAAATTACCATGATCACACTGTATGCCGTATTAGACCACTTACACGGTACTCACCTTACCTGGCCTTTTTCACCACCTTTTTGTCTGTCTCTTTTACATCTGTGGATCTCTTTTACTCTTCTGTCCTCCCCCCCCCTCTCCTCACTCAATTTGTTGTGACTTTGTCTGGTCCTCCCCTCTGTGAAGTTCGAAGTCAACTAAAGGGCTAATGATAGCTATCATAAGCCCTGCCATTTTATAATAATAATACCTTAGAACTCCTATGGAAGAAAATCCCATAGTACACTAAACATACAATTAACTGAAAAAAGGTTAAATTCCTAAATTCTTGCATTTGCAAATTTGGACGTTCACCATCACGCTCATTCATTCATTCGAACTATGATCATTGACACCCAACGAACTATTTGGAGTACTGACTTAAATCTGCTATATGAAAATCAAAGTTTTTAAAATTTGTGACTACATCAACCTTTAGAAAAGTGATGAACTGGGGAAGGCAAGGCGATCCTTCATGATTACGAAACAGAAATCACCAACCTCCACAACACTCCTCATCCGAAGCTTTCACAACATGAAACTGGTCGAAGTATTTTCTTTTCACGTCTATTGATCTTTCTGATAAGTAGTTTCAGTTTTTTATCACAATTAAAATGGTTATCTATTTAAAATTTATCTGTGGATAACAAGGTGTGTGCAATAGACTTACCTCCACGTGGTGCACCCTGGAAATGGGTACACATACGGCAAAAAAGTCTACTAACTGGTAGTTGACCTCTGACTTCAAACTGCCATGATCCCACTGTATGCCATATTCGACCTCTTTCACAGTACTCATCTAGCCTTTTCTCTGTCTTTGTGCCTGTCTGTCTTTTACATCTGTGAATCGCTCTTCTTTCCCATTGTCGAATTTTTCTAACTTTAATGTTCCTCCCTTCTGTGAAGCCGAAGTCAACTAAAGGGGCAATGATAACTATAAAAATGCCTGCCATTTGAAATAAAAATAAAATAAAATGATCAGATGTGCTAAGAAAACTATTCCCCGAGGCAAGACTAAACACTATCGAGTGTTATACCAGAGGCAAGACTAAACACTATCGAGTGTTTTGGTCTGAACCCATTGAGGAACTAAAAAGAAAGCGGGACGCCCTTCGCAACACTACTGATCAGACGGGAAGAACGGACTACCTTTGACGAGTTCATCTGAAATATCAACTACCAAAATGATAGCCAAAGCACTTCTAAATTCCTGAATAACCTCCAAAACAACAAGAAGAGACCCAAGAAAAAACCAATAAGCTTAAACAACAACCACCGACTCCGAAATAACTAACCTCTTTGCGAGGTTCTATTCCCACAAGCTAAAGAAAAACCCTTTTGTCAGAAACTCATCAAGAGATATAAAGAAACAAGTAAGACAGTTTGGTGAAATTAAGGAAGACACGACAACACCGAATAATGTACTTACTGAACCATTCAGACCTCGCGAACTTAAAGCTGTGATAAAACAGCTAAAGTGCAAAAAGTCTCCTGGCGAAGACGGTATTCATCCAGAATTTCTAATTAGAATGGGACCAAAAGCCAAGGTAACCATGCTGACGCTTACCAATAAAATCTGAGAGACCAGTCTCGTGCCTACCCTATGGAAAGTTGCCATAGAAATACAAATACTAAAACAGAGCATAGACCCTAGAAACTTTGACAACTCTAGGCTTATCTGCCCCACAAGTGTGCTGGCTAAACTTATGGAAAGAAAGGTTAACAGGAGGCTGACCTTGTTCCTTGAGACTAACAATATTCTTAAAAACGAAAAAGCAGATTTTAGGCCACAAAGATTAACAAACCAACAAATAGCCAAGATAACAAAATTCCTTTGATACTTGGCACTTGAGACAATCAATGTCAACTATCCTGGAGATAAATGACTCTAAGTCTTCTCTGATGGGTCACACATAGCAAATCAAGCAAACGTTGGTGCAGGTGTCTACTCTGAACTCTTCTCTTTCTACGCAGCAGCGGGACACAATAGATCCGCTTTTGAAGGAGAAATAGAGGCCATTAAGTTAGCACTAGGCCAATTATGTTGCCTGGATACGAAATTCACCAAAGCGGTGATACTTTCGGACTCACAGTCAGCAATAAACTCAATTGGAAACAGAGAGCACCCAAAACAGCTGAGATAAAGGAATGTAGAAAAATATATCAGCAGCTGAGAGGAAAAACAGAACAGTGGTCCTACAATGGATTCCTGGCCACTTTGGCATTAAAGGCAATGAGCTTGCTGACACACTTGCTAAGAAGGGGACAACGATTTTGGGATGCATGGACCGGCCGATGTCTTTCCACACAATGAAAGCCTTAATCAGAAGAGAATTCAAGACCTCAAGGTGCAACGAACTTAAAGCTCGAACAAAGAAGAAACAGTGGACACTGGCACTCTCCGACATACCCGACTGGCCACGAATCGAAACCGTTGCTGAGTTTAGACTTCGTACCGGACACGATTGCTTGGCAAAACACCTTCACAGATTGGGAGTATACACTCAACCCACATGCCCTCTATGTAACCTACAGGAGGAAATGGAGAAGACCCACCTGATTCGATGTCCAGCCCTAAAGACAACGAGGGAAAGCCAGAGATATTAGGAAGCAAGAAGACAGCTATTGAACTGCTATTAATTAACTGCTATATATGTACCCCCACCCTTGGGAGAAACTGAAGTCAAAGTATAATGGCTAATGATAAATATCATAAAGCCTGCCATTTGAAATAATAATAATAATAATAATAATAATGTTTCCAAATGTCATCATTAGCAGAAGTTCGGAAAATTTGTGAACTGCAGTCCGTTCCTCTTTGAGAAGAAAATGTTGAATTATTAACATCATTTTATACTAATGCGCGTATATTTTATTGCAATTTTAACCCTCTTTGCGAAATATTATAGAAGTTCTTGGGAAATAATGACATGAAGCTTCCGGAAACGAGAGCCAACTGCCAGACACAAAATACAAATTTCTCAAGTTTATTAGAATTTCAGTTTGTTTGAACTAAGTTCAGGAATTTTGAAAGCGTGCCGACTTTCTTTGATTCCGATTAGCGCCCGTTTGTTAATCCCATCCCCAAATGGGAGTCCGTCTGTTGATTTAACCAGAAGTCCGTAAACATGGTGATTGAAACGCTCTCTACGCGCTAAATTGAAAGGGAAAATGTAATATTTTGGGTTGACTTTACTGATTTTACTAGATGAAAAAATTCAACTTGTACAAAAATCAATTCTGTAACTGATGGTTGTGAAGCAATCCAATCTTTTAAAGTTAGTAATAACAAGCGATTAGAACATGCCTTGAACTACTTCGTTTTATAAAACGGTATCTAAGATAGGTGAAGTGCATATGGAGTAAATGATAAGTTGTTAGGCTTTGTCAATATTTGAAGCAATGGTGCTCTATCATGTCGGCATGCGTGTGAAATTCCAATAATCGATAATCCATTGCAGAAGGCATGAAACGTATAAAATATTGTATGTGAATTGCGGTATTGTTTAATTCCGACATCTAATTACCCTATAAAAAAAGTCACGTCGCAAAATGTGTCGCACCATTAAGTGCATTGTTACCAACAATATTTACTTCAAATGGCAGGCTTTATGATATTTATCATTAGCCACTTAGTTGACTTCGGCTTTCAACAAGGGGGGGGGGGCTTTAGGACAGTTAACAGTAGTTCATTAGTTTTCTTTTTGCTTCCCAGTATCACTGGCTTTCCCTCGTTGTCTTTAGGGCTGGACATCGAATCAGGTGGGTCTTCTCCATTTCCTCCTGTAGGTTACATAGAGGGCATGTGGGTTGAGTGTATACTCCCAATCTGTGAAGGTGTTTTGCCAAGCAATCGTGTCCGTTACGAAGTCTAAACTCAGCAACGGTTTCGATTCGTGGCCAGTCGGGTATGTCGGAGAGTGCCAGTGTCCACTGTTTCTTCTTTGTTCGAGCTTTAAGTTCGTTGCACCTTGAGGTCTTGAATTCTCTTCTGATTAAGGCTTTCATTGTGTGGAAAGACATCGGCCGGTCCATGCATCCCAAAATCGTTGTCCCCTTCTTAGCAAGTGTGTCAGCAAGCTCATTGCCTTTAATGCCAAAGTGGCCAGGAATCCATTGTAGGACCACTGTTCTGTTTTTCCTCTCAGCTGCTGATATATTTTTCTACATTCCTTTATCTCAGCTGTTTTGGGTGCTCTCTGTTTCCAATTGAGTTTATTGCTGACTGTGAGTCCGAAAGTATCACCGCTTTGGTGAATTTCGTATCCAGGCAACATAATTGGCCTAGTGCTAACTTAATGGCCTCTATTTCTCCTTCAAAAGCGGATCTATTGTGTCCCGCTGCTGCGTAGAAAGAGAAGAGTTCAGAGTAGACACCTGCACCAACGTTTGCTTGATTTGCTATGTGTGACCCATCAGAGAAGACTTAGAGTCATTTATCTCCAGGATAGTTGACATTGATTGTCTCAAGGGCCAGTGAGCGCATTCGTTGTGGAGGGGTATTTGATTTCCTGAAGTAGGCATGCAGTTGGGTGCAACACACTGCATCAGTGTCTGATAATGGGTTCATGGGTAGAGAGACTTTTTGGTTTGTTATCGATTTGTAATTCTTTCTTCAGTTCTATGGCTTTCTGTATTAGACCAGATTGGGTCTATTCAAGGCGCTGAAGAACATATCATGAGAATGCGCAGTAGCTTCTCATACAAGATCAAGATCTGTAACCAGGAGCAATGAATCAAGGGGTGTTAATTTGATCCCTCCAGTAATTAGTCGTAATGCTTGGTTGTGTGCCTTCTCGAGTGGTTTGAGAGTCACCTCTGTGGCTGTGATGAGTGGCTCACAGCAATACAACATTATTGGCTGAATAAACATCTTGGAAGTGGTGTTGGGAGTTGAGCGTGCATAGCCCCATACGCTACCAGCAAGACGCTTCAGTACATTCAGTCTTTTGGAGACTCGTTCTGCCATTGTAGCAATGTAACTTTTCCACATTAGCTTTGTGTCAAAAGTCATTCCGAGATAAGTGAATTCATTGGTTCTTTCTAGGGTAGTATCCTTGTGCCTTAGAAGAGGGTTTATGCTGTGACGGGCCAAAGAAAATGCTTGGAATGCAGTTTTCGCGGTATTGATTATCATTCTATTGTTGTCGCACCAGTTTGCTAGTAGTTTAAGTGCACAATTTAGGGCACTTCCTGTCCTCTCCTGAGCGTTTTTCTTAGGTTCGGAATACCATAGAACAAGATCATCTGTATAAAGTAAGCACTTGATGCCCGTGACTGTCTGTACTAATTCGGTTATGTCATTGATGAAGACATTGAAAAGAGTACAGCTTGTGACAGTTCCCTGTGGAAGGCCTGTTTGTAAAAGATTGGATTTTGATAGAGCATTTCCATATCTGACTTTACATGATCTTTGTCCAATGAATGCTTTTATCCAGTTTAGCATGTTATGCTTAATACCAATCTTTGCCAATTTTAGAATTAGTTTCTCTTTCCATACTAAGTCAAATGCTGATTTGAAGTCGACGCAAACAGCCGTAAGAGTATTTCTTGCATCAAGGGCATCTTCGATGTGTTGGGAGAAAGTGGCTACTTGTTGGTTAGTTGATCTTTGTGGCTTAAAACCTGCTTGTTCACTCCTAAGAATGTTGTTAGTCTCGAGGAACCAGGTCAGCCTCCTGTTAATCATTGTTTCAATAAGTTTAGCTAGAACGCTTGTGAGGGAGATAGACCTATAGTTGTCAAAGTTGCAAGGTTCTTTGCTCTTTTTTAGTATTGGTATTACTATGGCAACTTTCCATTGGTAAGGAACGAGACTGGTCTCCCAGATTTTATTGAAAAGCGTCAGCATGGTTTCCTTGGCTTTTGGTCCCATTCTAATTAGAAATTCTGGATGAATACCGTCTTCGCCAGGAGACTTTTTGCACTTTAGCTGTTTTATCACACCTTTAAGTTCGCGAGGTCTGAATGGTTCAGTAAGTACATTATTTGGTGTTGTCATGTCTTCCTTAATTTCACAAACTGTCTTACTTGTATCTTTAAATCTCTTGAAGATTTTCTGACAAAAGGGTTTTTCTTTTGCTTGTGGGAATATTTATTTATTTCAAATGGCAGGCGTTTTGATAGCTATCATTAGCCATTTGGCTGACTTCGGGCTTCACAGAGGGAAGGTTCATCAAAGTAGCAGAAAGTCGAGGGGTGGGGAATAGAAGAGCGATTCACAGATGTAAAAGAGGCAGACAGATATAAAGGTAGGGAAAAAGGTAAGATGAGTACTTTGGAAGGGGTCGAATATGACAAGCAGTTGGGCCATGGTATTTTGAAGTCAGAAGTCAAATGCCGGTTAATAGACTTTTTTGCCGTATGAGGTTAGCTATTTCGGAGTCGGTGGTTGTTGTTTAAGCTTATTGGTTCTTTCTTGGGTCTCTTCTAGTTGTTTTGGAGGTTACCCAGGAATTTGAAAGTGCGTTGGCTATCACTTTGATAGTTGTTATTTGAGATGAAGTTGTCGAAGGAAGTCCATTTAGCTTGTAAGATGGCTTGTCTTAAGACACCCGACTGCCGTCTCTAGGCTCGTACGTCTTCCGTTCTTCCAGTCAGATCAGCAGTGTTGCGAAGGGCGTCCCGCTTTCTTTTCAGTTCCTCAATGGGTTCAGACCAAAACACTCGATAGTGTTTAGTCTTGCCTCGGGGAATAGTTTTATTTGCACAATTAATCATAATATTCGTGATATCGTTGCAAAGTTTGTCAGGATGTTGGTTAAAGTTGAGGGGACTTGTGTGGAGCTCATTCTCTAGAAGGTTTGTGAATCTAGACCAGTCAGCCTTCTTGAAGTTCCATGATAGCTAAGTTGACATTTTTCTTGTCATGCTTTTGCTGCCGATGGTAATACAAGCAATGACTGGTTTGTGACCAGAACCAGGATCGTCAATTATTTCACGGCGTGTAT